GAGGAGGAGGAGGAGGAGGAGGAGGAGGAGGAGACTGGATTTATACCCCACCCTTCACCACCCGAAGGAGTCTCAGGGCGGCTTACAAACTCCTTCCCCTTCCCCTCCCCACAACAGACACCCTGTGAGGTAGGTGGGGCTCAGAGAGCTCTTTCGAGACCTGCTGATGAGAGAACAGCTCTGAAAGAACTTGTGACTGACCCAAGGTCACAGCAGCAGCTGCACGTGGCGGAGTGGAGAATCAAACCCTGTTCTCCCAGATTAGTATCCGTGCTCCTTACCACTACACCAACCTGGCCGAAGACAACTTCATAAAAACTTGTGGCATGCAGAGGTCCCCGGTGAAAATACGTTGGTTGCAATGACAAGATAATTCTCTGCCTGAGACCCTGAAAAGCCACTATCCATCGGAAGAGGCAACGCTGAGCAAGACAGTCTGGCTTGGTACAAGGGAACTTTGTATAGGAAGGGTGGACCACATGCCCTGCATGCAGAAGGTCCTCCGGATCTCCTACTGAAGAGTTTCAAGTTAGCAGATGCTGCGAAAAGGCTTCTCTGCTTGGGGTCTTGGATAATTGCTGTTAGGGGTCATTTCGTAGCATAACCTATTTGCATATGCCACACCCCCTGACATCACCAGAAGTGTGTCAGAAGGCAACACCCACCGCTCAGGCTCCACTAGGCTGTTTTGGATTGCTAGCTATTGGGGGGGGAACGTGCAGATCTGTCCTCGCAGATGAGGGAGAGCTTGTACCTGAATAAAACTTGGTCTTAAAGGTACCACTAGACTGTTTTGGACTGGGGGCCGGGGGGCTCTGCAGCTTACCTGGCTGCTTCTCGCTCTGACTGAGGGCTGCTGGGAGCAGTGGGTGGGGCTTGTTGCATGTGACCGTCCCCTGGGCTCTTTACTGCCGGAGCTCCGTTCCTGTGCGCTCCTGCAGGAAATGACCCCTGGCCCTTTTCCAAGAAAAGATCTAGCTCTGTTGATCAGAAAGTGGCAAAACATATAATTCCCAATATTTATACCAGGCCTTTCTAGTCCAGATACTTCATATGGCCTATAGACCTTCAGGGTCACCTAGTCCAAC